TTGTACCACTTTCTTGAGTTATAACTCATCATACAGTCACAGGGCTTTGACAAATGCCAATATCTGAGACAGAGGCTTTACAGAGAATAGTTCTCCATCTCCGATATCAGTATCATAGTATAAGGAAACTAGTAGCTTTACTCCTTGTCAAATCCTTTGTTCTTTTTCTGCCACTTTATATGACCTTGTTCTCGCCTCCCGTGACCACTGACCTAGCTGTATAGTCGTGGTCTATTAACTAGGCAAAGTATAGTCGTGGCACTCGCCATAGTTTCAGAGATATGTATTTAGGAAAATATGAGTTCACAATAAAATAAAATAAAAAAATTGATCATCGAGTAAAAATTTGCTTGAAAACAGAATATTTTCACATTTCGTGTAGGTAACAATTCTTCTGTATCTGAAAATCTTCGGATGGGAAGAAATGCGGAAAAAATATATAATGACATATTTTTGTATTATTATCTATTTCAGAGATTTTCTACAATTTTTTTTGATTTAAAACAAGATTAATTTTCTGTAGATAACTGGATTCGGCATAAAATTTTGCATATAGTACACTGTCTTTATTTAAAGCACACTGCGGTGTTTCCATTCTATTTCTTATTTACTAAAACTTTCGTTAAAAACATTATATACGAAAAGTGGTAAAAAACTAGAGTGAATATAACTTTATTAATGTTCTCTTAAACATAAAGGATACCAGAATAAATTCGTGTAGAAAAATTTACTTTATCGTATACAGGGTATTTTTTATGGCGTCACCAAAATCGTAATATTTAAAATGTTGTATCTCATTTTTTTTAAATGCAACACCTTGTATATTATTTTTCTTTCAGATGTAGAAATAAAAGTGAACATTTTTTGTATTTAAAGTGTCCTTAAATTTGTAGCCGTTTTGCAAATATTTTCTGTATTTCATTACATATGGGATTTTCAACGATAAAATATTAGACAAAGATCATATTAGGTGGCTTTGATAAAAATTTACTGTTGAAAGAGCCATATGTAATATAATACTGCGAATATCTGCGAAACCGTTAAAAATTTAGAAATACTTTAAATAAAAAAATGTTCACTTTTTAATTCTGCATCTGACAGAAAAATAATATACAGAATGTTGCATTTAAAAAAATTGAGATATACCATTTTAAATATTTCGATTTTGGTGACGCCATAAAAAATACCCTATATAGAATAATGTAAATTTTTCTACGCGGATTTGTTATCCTTGTTTAGGAAAATATAGCCCCAACACTTGGCTATATTTTCTATTTTCTTTATTAACACTCGGCTATAATAAAGCCAAGTGTTAATAAAGTTATATTCACTCTAGTTTTTTACAACTTTTCGGATATAATATTTTTAACCAAAGTTTTAGCAAATAAGTCATGGAATGGCAACACTGTAGAATGATTCAAATAAAAATAGTGTATTATATGCAGAATTTTATGCCAAATCCGATTATCTACAGAAAAATGGGAGGGGGGTGCAGTTGGTTAGGCAGTTTAAAAAAATAAAACTAACTTTACCGTAACTTTTTTTGTGACACCCTGTATATAACAAAATATTTTAGGATACGCCCCTTTATAAACCTTGAAACATGAATAAAACTTTTTTCACATCTTCGACAACGACGACGATATTGGACTTCCTCGTACTAATGGGCCACCCTGTAAATTTACGGTGGTTTAAAGCTAGGTGAAGCATTTTTCTTCCCTCAAATATAAACTCAATATTTTTTCTATAACATTTTGAATATTGTTATATTACGACAACTTATAATAAAAAATAAAAAAAAAACATAAAAAATAGAGTCCACTAAATTTATAAGAGATTATGCTATTATAAAATTCTTTCAATTAAAAAATATGAATAATTTGTGGAGCGCAGATGTACAAAATATTTACTCTAAAATTGTTTCAAAAACCAATCTATATAAATTATCTCATAAATTATTATTGGATTGAAAATTTTATGGCAAATCCCCTGACCAAAAAATATTTTCATGCGCATATTTGAGACAACCTGTATATCTAAAAAACTATTTTTAAAATCTGTCCACATGCTAAAAAAATAATAACATTTAATTAATTACATAATATCTCAGCTTCTAAAATAAACAAATATAATTAAATGTTTATTGATAATTAATATCAGCTTGCCGATTTACATCCGATGAAAACTCAAAGAACAATTTTTTGAATTATTACTACAATTAATAGCAGCACACAGTAAGGTACTCATTTTTGGTCAATCCGTCTCTGTGCCGACACGCAACGCTCGAACCTCGCAGCTCGACCGACGGAATTCAACTAAAACGCTTTGCAATCTGCCGATATTCGACAGATTGCAAAAACTGGCAGAAAAATTTGCGAGAGTGCAACTACTCTTTTCCTTAAACTATGTCAGTATTATCCTTGTTTATATATTCTTAAAGTTGTTCAACCGACTAGACAAAATGTGCTGCCAACTGGAGGACAAATCGTGAACCTTTCGGGGCGGAGTCAAAAATATCGATTATTTTAGTTATTTTCCTCAGAGTAATGTAATAATATAGCCCCGGGTTTCTGCGAACTTTAATAGTGATCAGCTGATTAAGAAATTTAAACGAAACTTTTATTTTATTGTAAATTGTGGATTATTTTTGCCTGTTATTTTAAGAATTCTTAACCGTATTAACAAAGAAATTATTATTTCGATATGTTGGTACATTATTTATAATTTATGATAATGCTAATTGCTGTTAAATAATATTAAAAAAAAAGTTACATACCTATTTTAATTTGATTTAATGCAGGTTTATAAAAGAATCATTTCATTCATAGATTATTTTATTCTAAATTGAGTGCTTTACGAATTTTACGATATTTTTTTTTGAAAACATAAAACTTTTTACATTTTTGATGCCAACTAATTGGCATGGTATTATTGGTATGGGAATTAGCCAAGAAAGAAAAGAATTGGCTATAACTTGTAATTTTTCGAAAGAAAACATATTATACCTATATCGCTGATATAAAGGTTAAAGAATGGCGCTTTTTATGAAGTCATGGCCAACTAGGGCTTCCATTTAAAAAAAAAATAATGTTTGTGTCATATGTCAAAAATGATAGGCTTTAGAAAAAAAAACAGAAAACACAAACTCATTGGGTATGTGATTATCTACAACTTTTATCTGAAAACTTTTAACATAGGGTAGATTATAATGGAATTAGAGACAAGTTTTAAAATAGCCAAAATTTGTTTTTTTCGAAACGTCTAGTAAGCCTTGAACTTCTCCGAAAAATCCGAAAGGCGCATATTTATGACCCCACAAAACTGCAATTCTTTCCACATTTAACCGACTCTCTATCTCCAGTAGTTTCCGAGATACCCATAGAGAACATCGTAGGAAACTCACCTTGTATAGTATTTAGAAACTAACTATTATTATTATTTGACTAGATTAATTTGATTAATAAGACTCGATTAATTTAATTTAAAATAAATTTGATCTGATTTTTTTTCCGTATATTCTACTACCAGAAAACCAAAATTATATGATAACGCACTTTTCAACGAAGTTGAAGGAAGATATGTATCTATCACAATACTTAATAGAATTACTACAGTTAGAAGAAAAACAAAAAAACAAAAAGAAAAACTGCCCAAATACCTTCACCTACTACTCATCTACAAAATAAACGAATATAATCTCTTATAAAAACACTACACAACTACTTCTTGTATTTTACACTGAAAAAATTATCAAACTTACTAATTAATCAAACAAAAAGAAAAAATAACCAAATTATCCCTTCACCTACTACTTAACTACAAAATAATAAACTATAAAAACACTACTAAACTATTTCTGGTATTCTACACTAAACATTATAATTAAACTTAATAAAGTTAATCTAATTTTACACTACAACCACTACAACTATAAAGAAATAAGAACATTTTTTAAAACTAGAAGAAACAGAACTTCGATACGTGCGACCAGTATAATAGATCCAGCGGACAAAGAATATAAAATACTGTAAAAATGTGCATTCAGAAAGAAAAAATATCTCGAAAATTATCTAAACAAACATTTTTTTTTGCTTATCAGTGAAAAGCATCGGCCTCGTCGGCCTTGCGGAATTTGTCGGGTATTTACAATGGTCGAATTGTATAATTACCAGCTTTTATAGCATATCAAATAGGCAAAAAGTATCTGGTCGATTAGTAACCAATTGACACAGTCCGAAAATTATCGATTTTTATTTTCTCTGTTTTTATTGGTCGCTTCAAAATTCAGAGTAACAAAAAATATTTTTCTGTAGTAAAAGACAGTGAAATACGCCTCGCCATCTGGTGCTTTACATCCATAAACGTCTTAGGTTGAGCTACTTTAAAAATTTATATACAAGGGTATTATCCTTATATCCGTATATGGATTTTTGTATAATGTATAAAAATTTAAATAATCGAATGAGTTTATTTTATAAGCCACCTTTTAGATACAATTTACCAATTCCTAGTTCCTGCTCATTTTCATTTACCCATAGTGTAATAATACATGGTAAATACACATTAAATCGGATAGAGTAAAAAAAAGTCATGTCCATATGATGTAAAAATACATGCTAATGTAGTAAAAATACATAATCTGAAGTGAACATAGTCGTAAAATTATGACACTAAAGATGCATAAATACATTGTAGGCTTAAATACCAAATGCATTTCTACATTCTTAATGGTAAATTTACATTTTAACTTTACACACCAAAAATGTAAAATTATATGGTAAATGCAAAATTCCAGACAAGATGGAATTTTACACATATTTGTGTGGCATAAAAGTAACCAATGATTTAATGTATATTTTTACATATTATTTTTTATCAATATATTTAGTTAAATTATTGCAATTTCGAAGACAACTACATATTTTACATAATATGTATATTTATTAAGTTGGGAGTTTTCATTATATTGATATAGGATTCTTTAGAATAAAACATATATATTAGTGTAATAATATTTATTTCTTCGCAATAATTACTTTGACAATAAAATTATATCACAATTCTTAAAATTCACAGGGAAAAATAAATATTTATTTGTTAACTTAAATAAAAAAAAATATCACATAGAATAAAATCAATCTCGTTTGACAATAAATCTAGAATCTGTGATTGAAACTAATTCCAACACGTTTGTCACCGGTGTGACTGCCTCCCCAGCCTCCGACATGGCGGTCAAATCCTCCTCCAACATTTAGTGTAGATGGACCGTTTGACCATACTGGTACTTTGGCGTCTACACTAAAATCGTGTCCATAGCCGTTGGCATGTCCGTATTTTACTTGTGCGCCAGATCCTGTAAATTAGTACAATTATTTGCTCAAATAAAACAAGAATTTTCAATAAAAGTTCAAACGCACTGACAATTTGGTTATTGAATGACCAGTATATTATACTAGTATAATTATTATTATTGCTTACGCCTAACCAAACTAAGTAGACATCAAAACAACTAAAGGCAGGGATTCAATTGTCAGTCTCACTAATAAAGTTTGACTTTTGCTAAAATATTTTAATGTATTTAGTTGGTTCAAATATCTGTATGTCGATCATCTTGTAAGTATAAAATGTTTAAAACAAAATTACACTTAGTTGATAGAGAAATATGAGTTATAGAAAATACTATGATGCATCAATAATGATGAAAACCTCGTAGACTGTGGTTCAGTTAGTAGGTATTGCGCAAAAATAAATAGATTAATAGTGAAACTGAAATCCAAGAATAATTTTTGGAAGTCAATTATTTCAATATTTCCTAAGAAACTTGGAAAACTGAACGAAAAATACATTCTCAAAGGTTCAAAAATAATTTAATGGATCAGAAATAAAATAAAACTAAGGGATGTTAGAAGAGAAAAAGGAAAATTATAATGGAACTTTACCGTTCACAACATCAGTCAAACGGACGATCGATTGAACAAATGCATCATAAACTGGACGCCCTGGGAAAATAAAAGGAGTAGAGAAAGATCTCAGATGTGATGGTCATGCGATCTGATGAAACATGCAGGTATCAGATGGATAAATATGGCGACAGGCAGAGAAGAATGGAAGAGATTTGTGGAGGCTTATATCCAACGACAGACAAAATAAGGCTAAATAGATAGATAAATAAAGAGTCAAAATGAAGTGAAAAATAGAACTAGATTTGATTTTAATTTGAAGTTTGAATGTGTTCTCATTTGTGTTCATTATTTTGTTCAGTAACATGTTTAATAATATCGGTGAAAGTGCGTTAGGAAGACTGAAGGGTTAACGTTAAGTTAAAACTTAATACTTATTTTCCACATAAATGGACATGAATTTAAGCAAGCTTACCATTAGGATTCACAACTCCGATAACTCCTCCTCCTTGTTTGCTGTTGGCACCTCCACCACCATACCATTTGGGTTCTTCTCTGTAACAAAGTACATGCATGTTTAAGTTTAATTCCTTGTTATTGTTATTTATATAAAATATAATTTAAGTAGTAGCTAAAGTATATTAAGACTAAAGAAGAAAACATTCGACCATAGTGTACTACCAGTCATGACCTATGCATGCAAAACCTGGAATAAAATTTGCTGGGAATAACCAAAAGAGACCGTAAAAAATAGAGTGGATACGACAAAAGACCCAGGTAATAAATGTCATCCACAGAGTCAAATCCCTCAAATAGCAATGGGCAGGACACCTGGCACTAAAAACGGACAACAGATGGACCACAAAAATTACAGCATGGTACCCATGAGGAATTAAGAGACTTAGAAGAAGACCGCATCTGAGATGGGACCATGATATTAGAAAATTAGGAGGGATAACTTGGGCCCGCATAGCCAGTAATAGACAGCCAGTGAGCTCAACAAAGAGAGTATCTAAATATGTGAGGGAGGCTACACCATAATTGGATATGGTTGAATGAGCTGAAAATGATGATGATATCAAGATTAATAGTTTTACAATCCTTTGAAAATTAATAAATTTGAAAAATAAATTATGAAGATTGTTATACCAGTGATGCAACTTTTTTGAAAATTTGGTTTCTTACGCAAAGACATCTGCTAGACATAAATTAGTTCCAGAATTACAGTGTTGACGTTACATTTGAAAAGTAGTAGTATGTTTGTTATATTATTTAGAAAACAGCTGGTACATTATAACCATTTTTGGAAGCAATTATCATATCTCTTATCAATGTTGCTTCTTAACAACATACAGACCGGACCACCGTAGTAGTAACATAGGCAGAACCGGACGAATTAGCGTATACCCGTCCGCCGGATAAAAAGCAGGCCAAAAAATGCGATAAAATAAAAATAGGTAGATATATGTGATAAGAATGTTTCAGAATTTGTATTCATTCGTGTTTTAATAGCCAAAACGAATATATAGATTCTCGCGACCGTTCTCGTGTAAAATTTATTTTTTAAGTAAAATAATGGATGTTTACGAAGTTCGTGAGAAAATTCATATTGTAAAATGGTATTTCCAAAATAGGTCTTTACCGTTTTAGTCAAACCGTTTAATTAGTGGATATGGAACTATTTTGTGGTCCGCTAGATCACCAAATCTTTTTCCCAATGATTTCTTTTTTCTCCCAATTTTTCTTTTTGTTGGGTTATGTAAAATCCAAAGTGTATGGTCATAATAGAGCTAATAATCTGGATGAGCTTCAAGTAAAAATACGAGAGGCTTTCCAAACTATTAGCTCCAATAAGTTAGCCAATGTCAGACGTGGATTTTACGACCGCCTAGCACAAGAAGGTGGTCTTTTTGAACACTTGTTATAACTTTTTTTTTATTTAGAGTAATATTTTAGTTTTTTTTTTATTTTATTGATGTCTTTTTTAATTTTGGAAATGAGTTTTGGGTTTAGAGAATTTATTTATTTTTAGTTTTGCCTTGTAAACACACTCAAATAATAAATATTTAAGTATTTTTATTATAAATGTTACCTTAAGTGAAGGTAAACACTTAAAATGAAAATAATAAATACTCGGCACTCCTCGCGTCGTATTCCTACTCTGTCACGACCGACCCGTCCAAGCACAACTGCAACTGCGTACTGCCTGACCAGCCGACTAGCCGGCAGTGAATCTCGAGTACGAACGCGAATCGGGTAAACGTAAATTCGTCCGGCAACTTGCTATGTTACTAGTAGCCTGGTCTTCTCTGTATAATGTTCCATGTTGACTAGTAACTACCTAGTTAATGTTGAAATGTATTGATTATTTCGAATCCAAATTACCTTGTGAATGGTTGCTTGTAGCGAACTTGACTTAGAGACCTTTTAACGTAAAAATCAAAATCAAAATGTGGAAGAAAATATATTTCCCTCAGTAGAGTAATACAGGTAAGAATGAAAAGTTATTACTCTTGAAAACAGTTAAAAAAAAAGTTTCAGTAGAAGTTGAAATCAAATTTCTCATACGAAAAAAAAAACAGATACCAATTTTTATCCAAATAATGATGTTAGTTCAGAAACTATTTAGAAAAAACCGAAATAAAAATGAAACTTCTACACCCTGTATCTAAAACGAAACATTTTAAGGCAAGAATTTATACGAGCTGTTATACTTATTTTTATCTGCATAATATGATGCCGAAGTTAGTCGGTTACAATTCAGAGCACCCTGTATATTAAGGGATCATAATTTTTATGAGTAACTTCAAACTAAAAGAATATATTGGTACTTGATAAAAATAATATTACCTTTTCTGTCGGCTTGAAATCGGAGTTAAAGAATAAACTTGGCCATCTTCATCCTGAACTATTAAGGACTTGCAGCTGGCAAAAGCAAAAGTAGCTACCAGTACCAATATTACTGCGGATTTCATCTCGACTGAAGTTTCCTGCAAAACTTGGAAAATGAATTGAAACTAGATACTCTCGAGTAGAGATCAAAGATTTTACTGACTTTTCAGGTTCATCTCGGTCCCGTTTTATAGCGAGTTTCTTCGCTATTTTGTGTAGTAAATTACCGTGGCCAGAAATCCCCTGGCTGGGTGTAGTAGCAGAGGTCACGGACGGATTGCACCAACGGATAATAATGTTACGATTACGATTTATTAACGTACGGGGTTATTCGATTCAGAACATTGAAGCAAAGTGTACAATTTAGATTCGACAAAAAAAATAAAAAATAATTATTTTATAATGTAATATACAGGGTGCAAATAAATTAATGGAAAAAAATCGCCAGGTAATTATTATTATTTTTTTAATATTAGATATATATCTAGTATATAAAATTCTCGGTTTCGCAGTTTTTTAGTTACCGTACTCCTCCGAAACGGCTTAACCGATTTTGACGAAATTTTATATGTATATTCAGTCGGTGTGAGAATAGGTTCTATCTTTTTTTTTGTACCCCTAAGGGATAAGGGTGGCCCACTCCAATTTTTTTTTATTGTTTGGACAATTTTTTTATTTTTTTCTAAGAGTTGGTATTAAAAAATAAATACAACCCTAAATGTTCACCCTTCATACAAAGTTGTTTTTTAATTTTTTGTTACCATACTCCTCCGAAACGGCGTGACTGATTTTGATGAAATTTTATATGTATACCCAAACAATTTTTTTTTGGACAATTTTTTAATTTTTTTTTAATTAAAAAATTACATCTACCTATCATCAACCTCTATTTTTTAATAGCGATATAATTAATTCAATAATTTTTAACACGTAAATAAAAATGACGGTTGTCCCATAATAGTTATTGTGTGCCAAGGCCGTAAAGTTGATTTTGTTGATTTTGACAATAATAATTTGACTTTATAATTTGACAATCTTAATATCGAACGTGGAAATAACTCAAATAAGACTAAGTAAATTAAATGTGTCTAGTAGGCTGCCCTAATAATGACTTTGTTTGCAAAAGCGGCCGTAAGGTAAAAGAGCGACCACAAAAGCGGCCACAAAAGATACACTTTAGGGACGTTCCACGTAATAGATACACTTTAGGGATCCGTCAAACTTCATTTTTTGTGACACTCGCTTAAAAAATATTTATATGGCAAAACAACGTTTGTCCGGTCAGCTAGTTTTCATATTTTTCCTATGTAATATTTTCCTACAAAGTTATTTGCTTAGATAGGATGAGTCTTAAATAATTGCAGTCTTTATAGTGTTGGTATATTTCGCAAATAAAACTCTAAATTTTGTGTTTTTCGAAAAAAAATCAGATTTTTTATGTCAGTACGACATAAACCTATCATCGGTGTACAGGGTGGTCGGAATTAGTCTGTTTTAACAGAGAAAACCTATTTCCTCACTAGATAGAGCAAAACCGACATAGATGTCATGGGCTCGATTTCTGAGACACGTTTAATAGCATAAACCGCATGTTGATATTTTCAATGCCAACTGAGATACGGGGTCTTTTTGATTTTTTTACCATTTTGAAAATTGTTCATAACTTTTTTAATTCGCGGAACAATAAAATTCTGTAAAGACGTTCTTAAGGCACTTTTTTAAGCACAATCCAGTGGCGTAGTGAGCTTTTTTTCAGAAATGCTCTTTTTGTCAGAAATAATAAAAAACATAATTTTTTAAATGGAAATCATACTTGGCTATGAACTTAAAAAATGCTGACGTTTAACCATTTCGAACGATATAAAATTATGGGTACCTATTTCTAAGAATGAGAGAAATATTAGGTTTTTCATCTTTGTATCGAAGTGTGCCTTGATTTTGTGTCGACCTAGTTGTCTAATTATCTTTTATGGCAATTTAATATTCTATATTATTATTTATCTGCATAATTAGAGACTTTTGAAAATGTAAATTAATATTCTATATTAGTTTAAGTAATTACAATTGAAATCGATACAATAAACAAAGAACAAAAAACATATTTTTTGAGCGACGAATATAGTTTTCTAAAAAAAATCATCAGATGTTCAAACTGAGCACCTCCTTGTTGAATACATAATAAACATCTTTTGCGCACAGAGTTACAGCGATTTATTAGGCGAACTAGTGTAATAAGTCCAAAAAAGCTTGCCTAGTAGCCTTCTGCAATTCTCCTCTCGTCCCAATGGTTCCTCCTTTATATATAAGGTTTTTTAATTTTCCCCATAAAAAATTCGAAAGAAGTTATGGGGTCCCTTGTTTCAATCCGATTCTCTCTAAATTCTCCATTTAATGACATTTTAATTGTAATTGGTAAAACTAATATAGAATGTTGATTTATCTTTTCAAAAGTCTTTAATTTTGCAGATAAATAATAATAAAGAATATTAAATTGCGATAAAAAATAATTAGGCAACAAGGTCAACACAAAATCAAAGCCCGCTTCGATACAAAAATAAAAAACACTAATATTTCTCTCATTGTTAGAAATACATACCCATAACTTTATATTGTTGCAAAAGGTTAAACATCAGCATTTTTTTAAGTTCAGAGCCAACTATGATTTTCATTTAAATAATTATAGTTATTATTTCTGACAAAAAGAGCAAGTATAGAAAAAAACTGACTACACCACTGGATTGTGCTTAAAAAAGTGCCTTAAGAACGTCTTTACAGAATTTTATTATTCCACGAATTAAAAAAGTTATGGGCAATTTTCAAAATGGCAAAAAAATCAAAAAGCCTTCCCAAACACCCACGAATTGTTTTCTGCGTACTAACTATACTGGGAACTAATAATAATCATAATATATTTAATATATTCGTATCTCAGTTGACAGTGAAAATATCGACAGGCGATTTATGCCATTAAGCGTGTCTCAGAAATCGAGCTCATGATATCTACGTCGGTTTTGCTCTATCTAGTCAGGAAATAGGTTTTCCCTGTTAAAACAGACCAATTTCGACCACCCTGTACATCAGGCAAAAAAATACCTGTTACGTTTCTGTTCGTTCGTCTGTATCTAGCAACTGTATATGTCTTAGTGTTGGCGGTTGGAATCGCCATGAATGTTTGTAGGCATAATATGGATTCGAGTATGGATTAATATATGTTTTGGTGCCTGAAGAAGCGACAATAAAGTCGCGAAAGCCGCAAAAACATAATTGTTTCCTTTCGAGCCTTCCCAAACACCCACGAATTGTTTTCTGCGTACTAACTATACTGGGAACTAATAATAATCATAATATATTTAATATATTCGGTATTTTACGTGTCCCTACTCAAATCATTGATCTCCATTTACGTCTACTACACAGCTTTTTCTTCGATGACTAAGAACGCGGTTCTTCACCAGTTTATTAGCAAATCGTTCATTTTTTTTGTTTACACCCGGCTAATCCAAGAATCTGAACGGTTCTTATCACACAAATTGCATAAAAGACTAATATTGAGTTAGTAAGGCTAGGCGTTGACATGCATTTCCTAATTAAATTGCAGAATTGAAGACAATATTTTCTATGCAATCAAATAGTCGGCCGATTGACTTCATCAGAATATATTGTTTTCACATCTGCAACTAAATAATCGGTCGACTCTAAATTGCATGTGAGCTCCTAGCCTTAAACGTTAGTAATTTGTCATATGGGTACTTCCCGAATTTTATTTACTCCTTTATGTATCACTCTATTTTATTAATTACTTGATTAGTGTTTTTAATTCTTAAATTGTACATCACGCAGGCTAGAAGGCTGTTTTTGCTGATTAATGTTTTAGAGAAATAACTGTATCGTTTTTATCAGGTGTTTTCTTATTTACTATTTCTTATTTACCGTAATTACATAGGTATACGTTTAAATTTATAAAAAATATATGCTATTCATTTAAAATAAATACTTTTGCTAAAGACCTCGATTTAAGTTTGGCCGAGAGTTTGGCTGAAAAGGGAAGATGATTTTAAAGAAAATTCCACACCTGTAATTTTTAACCAATGAAAACGTGTTTTTTGACAAAGCACCATGGCAACGGATAAATTTTAGTGAAATTTTTTTCCTTGTGGGCATCCAACAGCGAATTATATTGGAAATTTTTTGACGTTTACGTTTACGAATACAAGGTATGATCGATAGCGGCTCCAATTTCGATCAGTTCGCGCATACCACCTGTGACGTCACTAGGAATATAACGAATAAATAAAAAATAAAGAAAGTTGACAGGAGATCTGCATTTTTGAGGTTATGGTTAAGAATTGTTTATTTTTAAGACTTTTTAGTTCGTTTAATTTAATAATTACTAAAACCAGCAGTTCCAAAAATATATTTAAAAATAATAATTATCTATTAACATGGATTTGGACGATAATAGGTAAAAATACTAAATTTATTTCTATATTTGGTATAAAATTGTTTATTAGGTTTTTAGTTTGCGATGTTTATGGTAAATAATTTTCATTTTTATTGCCTCTGAATTCACATGAGGACAGAGATGAGGATATCTATGGAAAAGTAACCACAAGAGGAATTGTTACATCATTTAAAAAATGTTGGGAAGTTTATTGTTTCCCATCGAAAAGTAGAAAATGCCAATGCTGATGAACGTATTGTAATTGTGATAGAAGTAATTCCAAGGGTGAAGTTTATTATAATTAGTGGAAGTAATACCAAGGGTGAAGTTTATTATAATTAGTGACCTGTGCTTCTTTTTATATGTAGATGTTTCTGGTTTTGAGAATAAATCGGTTGAACGACACCCAAAATTTAAAGGAAGTATTTGCATACCCAGAATATGCCCATCAAGGGTTATATAGCTCAAATTTCCTTTAATGGTAGGCAATTATTCAATGCAAATTAACTTTTTAAGTGACTGAAATATTAAATAGTTTACAATATGGTACATCACTAAAAATATATTACTTTTAGGTACAATTAGGGCCCGATACATTTCAAAAAGTAGAATATTATTTTATATTAAATGAGGTATTGTACTAACAATCAATTTATATTAATAACGGAGATTAAAAAATAAGAGAATAAATAGTTCAATAATAATAATATTTTTTTATACTACAAAAACTTAAATAATATTTTTTTATACTACAAAAAGAAACTATAGAATACAACAGTATTTAAAAAAATAAATAAAAAGTGATGTTCCGGCCGAGATTCGAACTCCGGTCTCTCGCTTCCTAGTCCGACTCCTTATGCACTGCTCCACAGTAACTTGCTTAGCGATAATTCAATGACGGTATATAAACAAAAAAACAGGTTTATAACAATATCTTGACGATTTGAACTGGCGCGCGGAGCGTGCTGACCATAGGCTGACCAATAGCGCCTGTTATCACCTGTGACGTAGCGACCAACCTGCGCAATATCATACCTTGTATTCTTTGTACCATGGTTTGGGTGTCACTTAGTTACCATAGTAACTAAATAATGAAGTCGACCAAAAATCGAAAAATACATTTTAATTATTTGATTTTCAAACACAATTTGGTGTGGAATTTTCTTACCGAATACCACACTAGGTCAAATTAAATCCGGACATTTTTCTCGCTAATGAATATTTTTAGAAAATTATATTTTGAAAATATAATTTTCAAAATATTCATGAGCTCGAAAACATTTCCGGAAATAGTTTGACCTCTAGTGGTATTACTAGTGAAAACATTTGATATACTAATTTGTTGATATTTTGCTATATTTATACACAGCGAAGAGAAAGGATAGAGTATCCAAAATTTAAATAGATAATTTTTTTTTAGTTTCGCAAAGTAAAAGAATGTACAGGGTGTCCCAATTTAGTTGAAATTATACGGTATCTCCGTTATTCGTGAATATAGAAGGGTGCGGGTTGCACAAACCTGTCCCACTTTTTTGTCAAACGGAAGATGCCGTAAACAAAATTTTCATGGCTCTCTCCGTTTCTGAGCTACAGGGTCTTTTTGGCAATTTTGCAATTTGGGACACCCCCTGTATCTCTGTTATTGTTAAAGTTATCGATAAGGTGAAAACTGTTTATTGTAGAACTTTTTACATAGAATACAGTGGCGTAGGTTGACGCTGTTATTCTACGAAAGGAATATTTTTAAAAATATGAACTAAAGTTATGTTTTCTTTAAAGGGAACACCCTATATATTTATAAATTATCCTCGGAAATTTTAAATTCTTGAACCTTGTATCGATATATTCTTAAATTAATTTTCTTGGAACATGAGGTTCCAAGTTTCTTATGTTTTCATATTGTTTAAAAAAACTTTATTTAGTCTATAGACAAACGTTTCGGCTAACAGTACAGCCTTCATCAGTGTTATACAGGGTGTCCCAGAAATAAGTGCAAGTATTTTAAGGGGTGGTAGATCTCGTTAAAAGAAACACAGTTCCTCTTTATCGTTTTTCAAATAAGTCCAAAATAATGTAGTTATTTTACTTTGAAAAATTCCAAAAAAAAAAAGATTTTTTGCTAAAATTTTCAGAACGACTGGATCTTTTCTGGATTTTCTTTCTTGTAAATTTAATCTAATACCTATGTTGCCATATTATCAAGAAATTATGTTTTTTTACCTAAAAAGTAAAAAAAATCTAATAAATTTTTCAAAAAATTTTGAATTTTAATTTTTTTTTTTCGCAAAGAAAACGTCATAGGCGTGTTTCTGGGGTTGAATTATACTACCAGTTAAAATACTTGCACTTATTTCTCGGACACCCTATATATCATAAAAGAATTTACAAAAATTAACAATCCAAAAACAGACAATCTATTACAGCACAATGACATGCTTGTCTCTAAAGTGTTTCGAACAATATAAATTTGTGCAAGAAAAATAGAAATACAAAACAGTTTGTTTTAAATGCCATTTTGAAACCGATTTGCGTTTACCGACATTGGTTGAACATTGGCTGTATCGTACGCACACTACTACTTACATATATTTTTTTTTTACTTATAAATTATATGATCTGGCGCTTGCCATAAGCTTCTCAAGAATATAGGTATATTACTCTATGTTTATTTTCACTATTTACTGTAATATTTAACTTATTTAATAATATTAAAAGTAATAAATATCTCTATTATGTTTGACAAAAATATCTTCGGATAAAAAATCCACGTTTATGTGTTGAACATTTATTCGTGTTAAACATAGAATAAACAACAAAAATAAAAATTCTTTTATAGGTACTGAACATACTGAATATGTCGTATGATTGAAAAAAGTCGTTTAGTTGGCTTGGAAATGACGATTATTGACATTTACCAAAATATTTTACATATGAAATATCAGCGATCTTCATTTCCAACCCAACGCCGTTCTTTGTTTAATCATATAATATTATATTAAATTGTTTAATGATAGAAAACCCGTATTATTAACCTACTGTACCCAAAGTCCGTAAATCTACGGATTAATCAGTAGTTGGCAACACTGTCTCCGGCAACCACTCACTCTGCCGGCTGAAAGCAAAACTACGGTACAGTATTCTCTATCCGCTGCGCTGTAAACATCCGTAATAATCAGCGGCGCAGAGCTAAACTAAATCTCTGAATTCTCGGACAGGTTGACGGTAATGCCAGCTACATCTCGGACAGATTTTGTGCCATGAAATCGACCATAATGTTGCGCATCTTCTTCTTTCTTCAATCAATGCTATAACGTTTCGCTTTAACTGTAGCTATAAATTTTGTACCAAATTGTTATCTGTCGACATTGGGTATGTTGACTCTGTTAAGTACGTCAACGAAGTTTTGTTGCGTCAACTGTTAAATAGTCGACGTTATTAGTGATGGGATAACTCGAACGGTAATTCGCTCGAGTACTCGATTATTGAAATATTCAGAGCGATGAGCGATGCAAGTGACGAGTTACGAACGACGAACGCAAGCGATCCTAGAATGAAATAAATTAAAATCCGATTTTAATGTGACATACTCGATACAAAGCCGAGCGAATTTTCTACATACATTGCAAGTAGCAAATTTATACGACCTTATCCATTGCGTATCTGTGTGTGACAAAATTTTACGACCTACGTCCGACAATGTTTTAAACTAAACTAAATCAAGCGAATTACTCGTCGCTTGCTACTTGCCACTTGCCATTCATTACCGAAAGAATATGTGACCTGCGCACGCAACTTACCGCTTGGCATTACCAGTTGCGAGTACAACAAGCGACGCACAGTAGGCAATATGTCCAAATCAAGTTGCAAAAAATAACATCCACAGTTAGCATTTATGGTAATAACATTAGATTGGAAACATATTAGTTAAGAGGAAACCACATAAAACTAACAAAAAGACATATTCGGAGTCTCTTTCGAGGGGCTGTAAAACGAACTTTGCGCAAAACCTACATTTTCAGTTAATTTGTGTCCAATAACTACCTTTTTTCTACAATTTTTTAAATAGTAGGCATTGCATTCAAGTGACACAGTATTATAACAATTGAATCGGACGACCTTAGCTTGCTGTCAATAATTATTGTGAAATTGTCATAAGGTGTTTTACGTAGATTCCCGGTTGCGGTAAATTTAATGTCAAGGTAAGTAAAAAAGTATCTTTTATTTTGATTTTTTGGATAAAAACTAGGTAAAGGTCAAAGCAGAACATAATCATTTAAGGTTTTTTTGATAGTGGCAAATATTCTATCTTAGAAAAGTTAAGTCAAAAAAATCGCAAAAAATCGCAACATTAAATTTATTGGAAGCGTAAGCCTCCATGCGTATGTGTATAGTAAGATCCTTTATGTGGATACTTCTCATAAATTCATTTTTATAGTAGCTAGAGCTAGAGAAGAACTTGAAATATAAAGTCACGTAATTTTTCGCAAGATTTCCGAAGAGGTATGTCATAAATGTCAAATGACATTTTTTGACAAATTGGCAAATTTTGACAGCACCTAATTTTTTAAATTAAATGAAATGGATTTTTCTTTCATATTTAAAAATGTGCACTTCATGACCATTGCTTCCAGCTGTTATAAAACAAAATATCAGTAAATAGTAGGTGGTAAAATAAAATTTAGATATTTTTAGTTATTTTTAATAGGTATAAGCTCTATATTCTATCTTATATCTATATTTTCTAAATCGTCATTGTTTAATTCTCAGAATATTGTTACTTATTTAAAATATGATAATAAAATATTGAACCCAAAGAAACCCAACTTATTCAAATGACAAACAATCTTGAATAAAAGTTCGATTGGATTAGTATACTTAGGGTTTTCTTTTATACATTGACACCCCTTTATCTCTTTTATTTGACGTTTCCGAAAACTGTCTCAAATGAAAATGGTTTTGAATAAATTTGCCAAAAAAATCTATTTCGCATATACAAAGTGCTTCAAAAAGTCTGGGCATGGTTCAACTATCTTATTTCAAATTAGGTATAGGCTATGCTACATAAAAATAGTAATAAAAAATTGGGTACTAATTTGAAATAAGAAAGTTGGGCCACGCACATGATTTCTAAGGCATCCTGTATATGTAAAGAAGACTGTTTTGAAAAATGTATTCGAGACCATTAAACTTTTATTCAAGACACTTTTTTCGAAAACGTCGAATAAAAAAGATACAGAGGATGTCAATATATGAAACAAACCCTGTATATGCCGGAGGAGTAATAATTGCTCAATATTTGTCTGTTTCATCTTGGTTCTGCCAAAAATCGTAGAAAATCGATATTCTTACCGCATTTTGGTAGCTGTATTAGTCAAAATTTGATTTTTCCCCATTTTATGAATCCCCCCCGCCACCCCCAACCACTCTCAAGTCAGCCAAAACTAACTGGATTCACGGGCTACTGGCATAGAATGTTTTTACCAAATTTGAATGAAATTGTACAAAAAAAGAATTTTCTTCACTTCGCCTTACTATGAAAGGATACGAAGTTAGCTACTTTAAAATAAAACATATACCTATATTAATTTAATATCAAATATTTATTTATGCAATACTTAATTACTTTGACAATAAAAATAAATCACATTTTTTTTTAAATTTTACCCGGAAAAATAAATATAAGGGAAATTAAAATAACTTTGGTTGCATATCATAATACGACCACCAGCAAACTCCATAAGACGACGCATGGTGTCATTGATGACGTGCAACAAAAGTTGTTTTCATTTACCTTATAATTAAAAAAAATATCACATATAATAAAATCAGTCTTGTTTGACAATAAATCTAGAATCTGTGATTGAAACTAATTCCAACACGTTTGTCACCGGTGTGACTGCCTCCCCAGCCTCCGACATGGCGGTCAAATCCTCCTCCAACATTTAGTGTAGATGGACCGTTTGACCATACTGGTACTTTGGCGTCTACACTAAAATCGTGTCCATAGCCGTTGGCATGTCCGTATTTTACTTGTGCGCCAGATCCTGTAAATTAATACAATTATTTGCTAAAATAAAACAAGAATTTTCAATAATGCCTTAGAGTTCAAACGCACTGACAATTTGGTTATTAAATTATTATTATTACTAACTCCTAACCAAACTAAGTAGACATCAAAACAACTAAAGGCAGGGATTCAATTGTCAGTCTCACTAATGAAGTATGACTTTTGCTAAAATATTTGAATGTAATTAGTTGGTCCAAATATCTGTATGTCGATGATCTTGTAAGTATAAAATGTTTAAAACAAAATTACACCTAGTTGATAGAGAAATATGAGTTAGGAAATACTATGATGCATCAATAATGATGAAAACCTCGTAGACTGTGGTTCAGTCAGTAGGTATTACGCAAAAATAAATAGATTAATAGTGAAACTGAAATCCAAGAATAATTTTTGGAAGTCAATTATTTCAATATTTCCTAAGACTTGGAAAACTGAACGAAAAATACATTCTCAAACGTTCAAAAATAATTTAATGGATCAGAAATAAAATAAAAGTAAGGGATGTTAGAAGAGAAAAAGCAAAATTAAAATGGAACTTTGCCGTTCACAATATCAGTCAAACGGACGATCGATTGAACAAATGCATCATAAACTGGAGGCCCTGGGAAAATAAAAGAAGTAGAGGAAAACCTCAGATGTGATGGTCAGGCGATCTGATGAAACATGCAGGCATCAGATGGATAAATATGGCGACAGACAGAGAAGAATGGAAGAGATTTGTGGAGGCTTATATCCAACGATAGACAAAAGCAGGCAAAATAGATAGATAAATAGATTCAGACAAAATAAAGTGAAAAAAAGAACTAGATTTGACTTTAATTTGAAGTTTGAATGTGATATCGTTTGTGTTCATTATTTTGTTCAGTAACATGTTTAATAACATCGGTGAAACTGCGTTAGGAAGACTGAAGGGTTAGCCTTAAGTTAAAACTTAATACTTATTTTCCACATAAATTGACATGAATTTAAGCAAGCTTACCATTAGGATTCACAACTCCGATAACTCCTCCTCCTTGTTTGCTGTTGGCACCTCCACCACCATACCATTTGGGTTCTTCTCTGTAACAAAATACATGAATATTTAAGTTTAATTCCTTGTTACTGTTAATAAATAAATAAATAAATAAATAAATAAATAAATGCCTTTATTGTCAAAAAATTTTTCAATTTGTGGACAAAGGTAAACTAACAAACAAAGTAAAAAAAAACAAGGTACACAAACAAACAAACAAAAGATAATACAAAACATTATACAAATAATATTGTCAGTCTTATTGTTAAAATAAACATATATAAATGTTTACAATGTCAAAGAACAAAAAAAATTAAAATAATATTCAAAAATATTTAGCCAGTTTATAGCAAAATATCAATGACCTCTAAATAAATTAATTTCGATGTCATTAGTAAATATAGCAATAGCAAACATTAGACCAGTGTTTACAAGATCAAATTCGATTTTCAAAATATAATTCATTTACGGCGTAGAAAGCCTTGTCTAGTAAATAAGAGTTCAATGCTTTGCGAAATGAAAAAAATGATGTTATGGATTTGATTTCAAATGGCAGGTGATTGTGCATTTTTTTCGAGTTGTATAATATTGAACTTTTAACTAACTCTGAGCGTGGGGTAGGTAGATAAAGATCTTGCTCCGCGTTCCTGAGTGGATAAGTGTGAGATGGCCTTTCTTGAGAAGCTGATACATGTTTACGTATTAGGCAAACGGATTCAAATATAAATAAGGAAGGAAGAGTCAATATTTTTAATTCTCTAAAAAAGCCCCGGCAATGAGTTCTGCTGTTTAGTCCCAGTGAATATCGAACAGCTCTCTTCTGGAGCTTGAAAATGCGGTCAAATTGAGCCGCACAACACGTACCCCAGAATGGAAGGGCATACCTGAGGTGCGACTCAAAAAGTGCATAATAAACAGTTCTAGCCACTGACAAGTTAAGCTCCTTAGAAACAGACCTTAATGCAAAACAGGCAGAGCTCAATTTTTTCGACAAAGCTTCGATATGTATGTCCCATTTCAGAGAATTGTCCACAACAAGCCCTAAGAATTTTACGGATTTTACGACGTCAATGGTGGTGTTGTCAAGTACAAAAGGCTGCAACGAGTTTTTATACGACAAAGCCTTAGTTTTAGAAATGTTGAGACTCAGGAGGTTCGAATCGCACCAAGATTTAATGGTGATTAAGTCATTTGATATAATCCTATGAAGTGCCGCGATGTCCTTGTTGCTCCAAGTGAAGCTAGTGTCGTCCGCAAAAAGACATATTTTGCCACTGATGTTTATGTTAGCAATGTCGTTAATAAAAAGAAGAAACAAAATAGGGCCTAGTACTGAGCCTTGTGGTACTCCACATTCTATTGGCTTGCTAGAAGACAACGTGGTATCCACCCTCACAAGTTGACTTCTGTTGTTCAGATACGACTTAAACCATTCGAGAGATGATCCCTGAACCCATAGTGCTGCAGTTTATTAATTAGGATCTTATGATTTACACAATCGAACGCCTTAGAAAAATCACAGAAAATTGTTGCTGTAGAATGATGGTTGTTTAGGCTGGAGTAAACTTTATTAAGGAGGGAAAACATAGCGTCATTTGTGGACTTGTTGCTTAGAAATCCAAATTGATATTCAGTAAGTATTTTGTACTTAAACAGAAAAGATACCAGCCTGCTTTTAACCAACCTTTCTATGATCTTAGATAGCGTTGGAAGGAGTGCAATTGGGCGATAGTTAGAAGCTTCATCTTTGTCTCCTCCTTTGTGCAGTGGAATGATTATTGCCGTCTTAAGACATTTTGGAAAAATACCATTTTGGAACGACATGTTTATTAAAGTTGTTAGGTGATTCAGAGTGCTTTCTGGCAGATTCAAAAACATTTTTAAAGTTAGCCCGTCGGTCCCAGAAGAGGATTTATTTTTGATGGTATTAATTGTACTGCGAAGCTCTTCAAGAACTACGGGCGAAAAAAAGAAACTGTGTAAGTTTACATTATCATTAGAGAGATAAGAAAGTGGATCATGAAGAGGACATATGGTATTAGTTAAGTTTTTCGCTACATTTACAAAGTAATCGTTAAGGTTCTCAGGCGAGGTAGAGATATTGCTAGACGAAGAAAAGCTTTGTTTCTCAACTCATTCACAATAGACCATGTTTCCTTAGCAACATTACCAGAATTGACTATTCTCCTATTATAATAAAGGTCCTTAGCGGCTCTTATAGTCTTATGATAAATTTTTGTATAGTTTTACGTAATTGTGGAAGAAGAGACTGTCTGAGAATTTTTTTAAGTGAGATAATGAACGCATGTTTTTAGAAGATATGCGTAGACCTTTAGTGGTCCAAGGTTTATTATGGTTATTTTTTATAGGCCTAAGAGGAAAGGATTTGAACGCTAGACTGGTTAATGTTTTTACGAAAATAGAAAATTCGGTGTCGACATCATAAGAGCTAGTATCCCAGTTGGTTGTTTTACATAAGTGGCCGAACTTTTGAGCATTCTTTTCTGAAAAAATACGGCATAATTTACGAGGGCATTTTGATTTTGGACTTTATCGAAAATTCAGTTAAAACTGCTTCATGATCAGAGAGACCCGAGCTAAAGACGTTGCAGGCGATGGAGTTAGGATCAAAAGATGACACAACATAGTCTATAGTACTAGAACTGGTATTGGATATTCTGGTAGGTGAGCCTACATGCATGGCCATTCCAAAAGAATCAAAATGGACTGAAGAAACTTCTGAGCAGCACATACACTAAGAAAGTCAATATTAAGATCACCACACAAAATTAATTTGCTTTTCAAGGGCAGGGACTCAAGCAAGCTTAGTAGATTATGACAGAATAATTGCACGTCAGAGTCAGGTGTTCTATAAATACAAATAATGTAAAGGTCATAAGCATTATGGTGGACAATGGAAAATTCGAATACTTTTTCAGATAACAAATCATTGTACCTAGTTACCTCGGAAAAGTCGTTGTTTAAAGACATTATCATAGTACCTCCATGAGAAAAATTTGTTCTATCAAATCTGGCTACTGTGGTATAATTTTTAATAAACACAGGCTCATCAAAATTCAACCAGTGCTCAGTTATGGCAATGATATCTGGAAATTCAAGTTCTTCTAGTAAAAGATATAATTCATCTGTAAACGAAGCTTGGCTTAAGGATGTTGAGGTTGAATTTATTATGGTTCCCGGCGGCCACATATTTATGTCCTTAAGCTGCACCAAGTGACACCTCTTTTGCACTCCAATTTTGAAATCGGAATGGGAACTGTCCTTATTTTTCAGCATTGGAAAGCATCTGATGAAGTCGGTGGTTCCTAGTTTTTCTTTAACATAGTGCGCAAGTTGATTCGCTGTGTAAGGAGGTGGAATTCTGGACACCACCACATGATTCCAGTCTTCTCTTATTGCGGCCTTAGGAGGTTGCTATGACACTATTTTGGGTGAAACTATTTTTTTTGGCGAATCTATAAAAGCTAAAGTACTATCTAAAGTACTATTTTGGTGATCTATAGGGCCCGTCTGCGTTGAAATGGATTTTTCCGCTGCATATTATGATCTGTACAGGTCTTATCCCTTGTAACAAGCTTTTCCAATGTGAGCGACATTTGTTTAACGCTCTGCCTAAGGTCAGCCATTTCCTTCGCCATTTCTTCCTTAGATGGGTCATGAACTTGGACTTTAACAGACCCATCATGGTTGTCCATTAAAATTGATGATAAATTGAAAGTGTCTTGCTTTATCTCATTTATAGACTTAAATAAGGATTCTTGTGTGGTATCTGATATCCTGGATATGTCATCAATTTTCTTGAGTAAAATTTTCCACTTGGAATCGTGGTCACTCAGCATGTCATACATTTCAGTTATGACTGGAAAAATGTCAATATTTTTTTTTAAACAGAATCCTAGTGCTTCGATGATTTCTGGTTGGACCTGGCATTCTTGAAGCTGTGTAATTCTATCATGAACATATTTTAATGTAGGAGAATCGCAGACAGTGCAGAAAAATCTAACGTTGTGGTACTTTTGTTGACATAGCACCTTTGTTGTTGCCTTATCCAGTCCTGTACAGGTCATACAAATACTTCTTCGACACTCTCCACTACAGCGAACCTTATAACTGTCCTTTTGGATTTTTTGACAAGAGTCGCACTTAAATTCAGCCATAATAATGTAAATGATTAATAATATTAATAAAAGTCGATGACAGCTGAATAAAATTCGGAAGTATAAACAAGCTAAAACTCACGCACAGCGGAAACAAGTACGCCGAAAAATTATCAATTAATGTTACAAAAAACTAACACAAGTAAACAAATTCAAGTTTAAACGAACAGTGAACTTTGAGTTGATTTCGGGTCAGGAACAAAAACAAGTCAAATCAAAACAAAACAAAACGTTCAATAACCGGCAGACAAAACGCACGATCGGTAACACAACCTTCTCGTACGACTGCTAAACTGTTACTGAATACAATACAATATGTTAACTATTAATATTATAACTATTAATATTATAATAATTATATTAATAATATTAACTATTAATATTATAATAATATATAAAATATAATTTAAGTATTAACTTAAATATATCGAGACTAAAGAAGAAAACATTCGACCAATGTGTACACCAGTCATGATCTATGCATGCAAAACCTGGAACGAAATTTGCTGGGAATAACCAAAAGAGACCGTAAAAAAATATAGTGGATACGACAAAAGACCCAGGTAATTTGAAAAGTAGTAGTATGTTTGTTATATTATTTAGAAAACAGCTGCTACATTATTACCATTTTTGGAAGCAATTATCATATCTCTTATCAATGTTGCTTCTTAACAATATACAGACCGGACCACCGTAGTAGTAACATAGGCAGAACCGGACGAATTAGCGTATACCCGTCCACCGGGTAAAAAGCAGGCGAAAAAATGCGATAAAATAAAAATAGGTAGATATATGTGATAAGAATGTTTCAGAATTTGTATTTATTCGTGTTTTAATAGCCAAAACGAATACATAGATTCTCGCGACCGTTCTCGTGTAAAATTTATTTTTTAAGTAAAATAATGGATGTTTACGAAGTTCGTGAGAAAATTCAAATTGTAAAATGGTATTTCCAAAATAGGTCTTTACCGTTTTAGCAAAATAAAACACTAAATCACCACAATACACCAAAACACTTTTACTTTTACACTGGACGCGCGTTTCGCTAACCATGTTGAAACGCGCGTCCAGTGTAAAAGTAAAAGTGTTTTGGTGTATTGTGGTGATTTAGTGTTTTATTTTGCTGTGTAACACCAAAGGTACCAACCCTTAATTGTATTTTACCGTTTTAGTCAAACCGTTTAATTAGTGGACATAGAACTATTTTGTGGTCCGCTAGATAACCAAATCTTTCTCCCAATGATTTCTTTTTTCTCCCAATTTTTCTTTTTGTGGGGTTATGTAAAATCCAAAGTGTATGGTCATAATAGGGCTAATAATCTGGATGAGCTTCAAGTAAAAATACGAGAGGCTTTCCAAACTATTAGCCCTAATATGTTAGCCAATGTCAGACGGGGATTTAACGACCGCCTTGGCTTCTGCCTAGCACAAGAAGGTGGTCTTTTTGAACACTTGTTATAACTTTTTTTTTATTTGGAGTAATATTTTTTTTTTATTTTATTGATGTATTTTTTAATTTTGGAAATGAGTTTTGGGTTTAGAGAATTTATTTATTTTTGTTTTGGCTTCTAAACACCCTCAAATAATAAATATTTAAGTATTTTTATTTTAAATGTTACCTTAAGTGAAGGTAAACACTTAAAATGAAAATAATAAATACTCGGCAGTCCTCGCGTCGTATTCCTAGTCTGTCACGACCGACCCGTCCAAGCACAACTGCAACTGCGTACTGCCTGACCAGCCGACTAGCCGGCAGTGAATCTAGAGTACGAACGCAAATCGGGTAAACGTAAATTCGTCTGGCAACTTGCTATGTTACTAGTAGCCTGGTCTTCTCTGTATAATGTTCCATGTTGACTAGTAACTACCTAGTCAACATATTCAATTTTTGTTAATGTTGAAATGTATTGATTATTTCGATTCCAAATACCTTGAGAACGGTTGCTTGTAGCGAACTTGACTTAGAAACCTTTTTTAAGTACAAATCAAAATGTGGAAGAATATATATTTCCCTCAGTAGAGTAATAGAAGAAAGGATGAAAGTTATTATTCTTGAAAACAGTTAAAAAAACCATTTAGTTGAAGTTGAAATCAAATTCCTCATACGAAAAAAAATCCAGATACCAGTTTTAATCCAAATATCGACGTCAGTTCAGAAACTATTTAGAAAAAACCGAAATAAAAATAAAATTTCTACACACTGTATCTAAAACGAAACATTTTAGGACAAGAATTTATACGAACTGTTTTACTTATTTTTATCTGCATAATATGTTGCCAAAATTAGTCGATTACAATTCGGAGCGCCCTGTATATTAAGTGATCATAACTTTTAGTGCAACTTCAAACTAAAAAATATATTGGTACTTGATAAAAATAATATTACCTTTTCTGTCGGCTTGAAATCGGAGTTAAAGAATAAACTTGGCCATCTTCATCCTGAACTATTAAGGACTTGCAGCTGGCAAAAGCAAAAGTAGCTACCAGTACCAATATTACTGCGGATTTCATCTCGACTGAAGTTTCCTGCAAAACTTGGTAAATGAATTGAAACTAGATACTCTCGAGTAGAGATCAAAGATTTTACTGACTTCTCAGGTGCATCTCGGTCCCGTTTTATAGCGAGTTTCTTCGCTATTTTGTGTAGTAAATTACCGCGGCCAGAAATCCCCTGGCTGGGTGTAGTGGCATCAAACTAACGGCGGTCACGGACGGATCGCACGAACGGATAACGTTTACGACTTAATAAACGTATTGTGTTATTCGGTTCAAACCGTGACGAAGATTTAATTTTTTTTAATTTTTATTTTTTTACGAACTTTTTTTAGTATTTACAAAAAAAAATGATAAATATATTTTAACCTAATTCACAGGGCGTAAATAATTAAGTGAGGAAGACAAGGGGAGATATTAAAAAAAAATCATATAAAACTTTACGATTTAATGTTTCTCTAAAAATCTATTTGTTTATACAGGGTGAGTATTAAATAAGTGCAAATATTTTCAGGGCTGTTACATTTCGATAAAAGAAACATCTATACTAATATATAAAATCCTTAAGTGACTCACTGATTAATCACGATCCTGCTCAAACCACTCAACGTAAGAAGCTCAATGGGCTTGTTCCACAATTTTTTTTTATTTTACCAATCGAAAGTACAACTAAAAAATAACAGATCTACCAAAAATTAAAATTTTATTCGTACGTTTAGTACCTCAAAAACTCGTACAAACATCTATTGCGCGAGAAAGGGGCGTGGCCAGCGGCTACGTCATAGCACCACAGGTCGGCTGGCGACCGCGCCTCAATACAATGCACAGGTCTGCTTTGCCCGATTACAGAAAGTGTGTTTTAAATTTATATTATAACGTAGTGTAGTACCCTTGTTTATAATACAAGGGTAGTACTAAAGGCTTTCTTTTATTCAATATTAGTGTAAAAAAGACAAGGAAACGTTGTGTAGTGCCAGAATGCACAAATACGAATAAAAATTCCCCAGAAAAACTATTTATTTCTTTACAATGGCCCCGAAATGAAAACTTTCATTTCTGGGCCAATACAGTAGACAAGGATCTTAAAATGCATGATCAAGAGCAATCAAGAGGAGCGCATTTCAAACCATCAAATTTATGCAGCCACATAAGAAATGCTACCGCGTGCTTGCACGTTCGGATGCGGCACAGTCATTACACTTTGCTTCTATTACACTTTTTCTACTAGTATTTATAATAATGCTTTAATTGTTTCTTACTTCTTATACATTCAGATAATATCCATATATATTTTTTTACTTTTTCTTGGGTAAAAAAACACAGTCATCACACTAATTTATACAGACTGGTGCTAGCAAGGCGACTTCAAGAATAAAGTGCCGGATAAAGCCCACTATGTTGGAACGAAACGTCACGTCGCATAAAAAAATCTTTCTATATAATTGATAATAATTCGATATAATAATGCATTGTACATTATAATTTTTTGCATTAATTTTGTGCTCCGGTGTAATTTTTGCCACTACTTGTCATAGTGATTGCTGTTGTTTTAACTTCACATATTATCCAATGGCATTATTACCATAATTTTGTCTGCCGGATCTGTAAGAAAAAAGTACATAGCTTACGTATCAGTTTTTACCTTAAAGTAGAAATATTTTTTCTATATATTTATTGTATTACGTCTTTTCGCGGACCAACCTCGAACTAGTCCTAGTCAATCACATATCTTAAAATCAATTCAGTATTTGTCAGCTGTATATGAAACCACTGATATTTTCTGCTTCGTGAATTTTTCGCGAGAATATTTATTAATAATTGATCAAAATTAATTTATTTTTGTTTTTTTTTAAATTAAAATTTTTAAAATTTAAAATATTTCAAAAATAATTAAAAATATTTTTCTACAAGCGTGTTAAAATGTTTTTCGCCACACTCCGATATATAATAATATTACTTTAAGGTACTAGCGCTTTAAAATTTACTTTAGTCATTAAAGGAAACAAAAAAATATATATTTGAGGAAAGTCTCTTATTTACTACTAGTACAATTATTATGTATTAATTCAATATTAATTATATTCATATTCTAACTTAATTATATTATTAATATAAACAATAAACAATTGTTAATTCAATAATTAGCCGAAAAGCCTCAAAATGCTAATTAATTGTATTAATGTCTCTTATTTACTACTAGTACAATTATTATGTATTAATTCAATATTAATTATATTCATATTCTAACTTAATTATATTATTAATATAAACAATAAACAATTGTTAATTCAATAATTAGCCGAAAAGCCTCAAAATGCTAATTAATTGTATTAATGTTACAAATAGAAGAAGATTGCATAGGTTAGTTAAGAAAATGCATAGGTTGCCTTCTTTCATATAGGGTAAATAACCCATTGTTTTTTTACCGTAGCGAGCCGCCACTGCTTTCCGATACAGATATAGGTATTTAAGCAATAGAAAATATCTAAGAAGGAAAATATAATAGAAATTAAAAGGTTTACTTAGGTACCTTTGTAACTTTATTTCCTTCATTTCTGAACTAATAAACTACTTATTTTTATTAAAATAATCCATTATCATAAAAATGTCCACTTCTGGGAGATTGCCCGAATCAGCTTTATTAAACCCTCCTCCTACCTACCGAATGCATCTTGTGAAAATAAACCAACGAAATAGTCTAAATAACGATAAAATGACAAATCACATTAATTCAAATGAGTGTTTCCGTTACGAACTGATTGACGGCCGAAGTCGGGTGTAGTGGAACTACGTCACGAGGGGGCGGAGCCTCGTCTAGCCGTTACAAACTTTAAGCTCTCATATCTCGAAAACGGCAAAAGATTTCGTTTTGAAATTTTAATGGTGCACTTATTATAATAAGTAGTATCCAAAAACGTTTAAAAACATACAAATAGGATATGATGGAACAAGCCTATTTTGGCGTACAGGTTGATTCTAGGATGTAGAGGTTCGATAAGAAATGATTTTTCGAAATTCCAGTTCCAAGGGGTGAAACCACCCCTCAAATATTACAATATTTTTTATTTAAAAAACGGTCAAGTTTCCGAAAAAACGCTTATACACGTATATTTTATTTTGTTTTTTACATATTTTAAGATTTTTTAGAAATATATACACGGGGTTTCGAAAAATCTGGTCATTGATTAATAACGATCCTGCTTAAAGCGCTTGACGTAAAAAGCTAATTTTTGGAAAACGGATTGACTTGGGTGTAGAGGGTGTAAAGGTTCGATAAGAAGGTATTTTTCGAAACTCGAATTCTAAGGGGGCGAAACCACTTCTCAATTATTAGAATATTTTTTATTTAAAAACCGGTGAGTTTTTCGGAAAAACTCTGAAACACGTATATTTTATTTTGTTGTTTTACATATTTTAAGATTTTTTAAAAATTTATACAGGGTGTTTCATAAAATATGACGATTGAGTAATCACGATTCTGCTTAAACTACTTGACTATGTTTATTAAGGCTGACTTTTGGCAAACGGATTGACAGTGGGTTCGATAAGGAAGGGTTTCTCGAATCTCAAATTCCAAGAGGGTGAAAACGCCTCTCAAATATTACAATATTTGTTATCTGAAAAACGGTTAGTCTTGTTTTTTTTTACATATTTTGATTTTTTTTTAAATCATACAGGGTGTTCCAAAAAGTTGGGTAATTGATTAACCACGATTCTGCTTAATACGAGACCACTGCTTGACGTATAAGCTTTTTTATTTTTGACAAACGGATTTTTTTCGAAAGTCAAATTCCAACGAGACACCCCTCAAATATTACCAAGTTATATAATAATATTGCCATTTTGTTTTCTCATGCTGACATAAATGTGAGAAAACTTAATCCAGTTTGTATGTTAATGGAAATTCTTGCTTTGCTTTATTATCACCATTACAATAATTAGTCGCGGGTACACGCTAGTATTTTATATTTACCTTTTTTATAATAAGTCTAAAATAACTGAGATATACTTTGAATATTTCAAAAAAAAATGTTTTTTACTTAAATTTTGAGAACCACTGTATCTCTTCCGGGTTTTCTTTCTTATAAATTTAATCTACTCTCTATGTTGCCATATTATCATGAAATTATGTTTTTTAACTAAAAACTCAAAAAACTACGAGAAAAATTTTAAAACTCCAAATTTTCATTTTTTTTCGAGAAAAAAACCTCATAATCGTGTTTCTGGGATCTAAATATACTACCTTTAAAAATACAGGTCGTACTTTGCACTTATTAAAGACTCACCCTGTGAATATATAAGGCGATCGAGACAATCGCATATGTTAAAAATATTTTCAACTAGGGTTTCCATATAAGTGTTTGGAAATGTTGGACAAGTTTCTCTGAAATCCGGACAAAATTCAGATTTCGGACTCACAATGTACCGTTTGTGTCCAGGAAGGGTTCATAGTTTCATAGATGTCGATTTTCGAAAGAAATCAGAACATGTATATTATTTCGTATATTTTTCATTTTATTGATTTTATGGAAAGCACTGTTCATTAAAATCTTGTATCCTATGTTATAGGGCTTGTTTCTCTCTACAATTTCCTGTCTCACAATGTACCGTTTGTGTCCAGGAAAGGTTCATAGTTTCATAGATGTCGATTTTCGAAAGAAATCGGTACATTTATTTTATTTCGTACATTTTTCATTTTATTGATTTTATGGAAAGCACTGTTCATTAAAATGTTGTATCCTTTGTTATAGGGCTTGTTTCTCTCTACAATTTCCTGTCTCACAATGTACCGTTTGTGTCCAGGAAGGGTTCATATTTTCATAGTTGTCCATTTTCGAAAGAAATCAGTACATTTATTTTATTTCGTATATATTTCATTTGATTGATTTTATGGAAAGCACTATTCATTAAAATGTTGTATCCTATGTTATAGGGTTTGTTTCTCTCTACAATTTCCTGTCTCACAATGTACCGTTTGTATCCAGGAAAGGTTCATATTTTCATAGATGTCGATTTTCGAAAGAAATCGGTACATTTATTTTATTTCGTATATTTTTCATTTTATTGATTTTATGGAAAGCACTGTTCATTAAAGTGTTGTATCCT